AATGTGACATTATAAATGTCCTTACTGTCACTTTTGATCAATTTAATGGGTCCTTGCTGAATAAAAGTAATAAAAGTTTCAAATGCATAGAATATTGCCACTTCACCTTTATTTTGTGGAAAAGAGCTGCTTGGATCATCTGCAATAAATACAGAATTTTACAATAAACAGAATTATACATTTTTCATGCAAACGAGGAAATTGGCTGTGTACATTTCCTATAGAACATAGAATGTTTAACAGAGTTTCTTCTTTATTTTGTCATAGAAAACTCAAACACAATCAAACACACTTCCTCGAACAAAGGGAAAGCAGAACAGGATGTCAGAGCCATTAACCATTTCACAAGCAGGGGGCAGTAATATTGCAGGTAAAGGATCATTGTAAATTTGATCAGCCTCTTTATATCTTGTATCTTTAAATCCTTATAGCCCTTTCAAAGCTAAAATGAGTTCTTTAATAAAAAACAATACTTTCACTAAACAAGCAAAATCTCTCTATGTCTCTCAGGAAAAGTAGATGAGATGGATGAAATGTTTCATAGCCTGAAGAAAGGAGGAGTGTCTCTGATTGGTCAGAATCAGCCAACGACTCACGACCAGCTACGTAAATCCTTCATCAAACGCAACAAAAACCCTGTTATCAATGAGAAGATACACACACTCCGTGCCCTCCAGAGCACACTTAAGGTAAGACATGCATTTACACACACACTAACAACCCAACATAAACTGTTGTTATTATTATTATTATTTCCTACTCGTGTCAATCATAAAAGATGGACAGTTTAAAGTATAGTACCAGTCAAAAGTTAATTGATTAATTAATTGTTAATTGATAATTAATTAATTGTTAATGTTTTTAAAAGAAGTCTCTTATGCTCACCAAGACTGCACCTATTTGATATTAGTACAATCTGTTTTCTAGTTTAATACATTTTAAAATCTCATTGTCACATTATCCTTCAGAAATCATTTTAATATGCTGATTTAGAGCTCGAGAAACATTCCTTATTCATGTTGAAACAGATGTGCTTCTTATTCTATCTGTAGAAATTGTGCTACACTACCATACAAGTCTTTGGGGAAAGTAAGAAAAGAAAAGAAATCAATACTTTTATTATTATTAAGACTGCATTAAATTGATAAGAAATGACTGTAAAGACATTTATAATGTTACAAAAGAATTCTATTTAAAATAAATTCTGTTCTGAAAAAAACATCAGTTTCCAAAAAAATGTTTGCAACGTTAATAATAAGAACCATCATTAATAATTGAGCACCAAATATAATTGATAATAATTGAGCACCAAATCAGCATATTGGAATGATTTCTGAAGGATCATGTAACACTGAAGTGTTAAATTGTAATACAGTTTCAAAATATTACTGTTTTTACTGTAGTTTTGATCAAATAAATGCAGCCTTGCTGAAGATTAGAGACCTCTTTCAAAAACATTAAAACTTTTGACTGGTAGTTTGTGGAAGCCAGGTAGAGTAGGTCATGCACACAGCGGTCTCTTAGTTTCTCATTGGCTGCTGGTGTTTTCTAGGCGAAGGAAGCAGAGCTTCACCTGATTAACAAGATCCTGGAGGACTCTGAGTTCTCACCGCAGAAGTTCCATCAATGGAAGAAGTTCAATGAAGAGCTGCTGCAGGACATTGAGAGACAGTACAAACAAACAGACTCGCCAAGCATAGACACAGTGTCCACGGCCAAAGACGAGGCAAGCACACTGAATCTGAGTGATGGAGAACAGTTGGTAGATGCAGAGACACCTGATGACAGAGGCTCCACTTCTACAGAGGCACAGGTGCCGATGCAAACACATACCACAGTCACAGACAAAACTACAGAGAACTATTTTTACATATGACAACCGTTTCCTTCCTGTACTCTTATTAAAACATAACAAAACAAGAAATGAAAGTGCAACGCTGGGATAAATATATGGATCTGACTTGCAGCCATCTGGGACAGAGCACTGGCTGTTTTACCAGAAGTAAGATCTATCATCTGGAGCTTTTCAAAACTACTTCATACTTCTGCTGTTCATTCACTAAAAACTATCACTGAATTTATGATGAACTGCCTGATGCTGGCAAAAGAACAAATCTAACTTTAGGCACTTGCTAAAGGATGTTGATTATATACTGTTGTATGTCATTTTTAAAATATATATTTTAGATTAATTATATGAATATTTGTTTTTACGTCAGGTATGTGTGAAAGGTTTCCCTAAATATGTCAGAAACATTTTATGAATGTTTCTGGTATGTTCAGACAAGATAGACAAGAAAGTATGCTTTTATAAAAATGTATTCTTTTTATTATGTAGAACATTTATGACAGTGCAGATCCTGAAAACAAGTTATAACTATATTTCCCAAGGGAAAAAAACATTTTATGAATGTTTCTGGTATGTTCAGACAAGATAGACAAGAAAGTATGCTTTTATAAGAATGTATTCTTTTTATTATGTAGAACATTTATGACAGTGCAGATCCTGAAAACAAGTTATAACTATATTTCCCGAGGGAAAAAAATATACCTCATTGTGCATAGTTTGTATTAAATGCCCAGCAGTGGTCATTTCCCTAGAATTGCCACACAGTGGCGCCATGTGTTTTGATCATGAGGTGTTTCACACTCCAGTCACCTGTTCCTTTGAGTCTTTTAGTGTTTTTATACCAACAGTGTATAATCATGCATAAAATGGCTGTGTTTATATATATATTATTGCTTCTGAAGCTTTACTCTCTTTTTATTCTATTTTAAAATGTAACCAGACAAATAGTGTTTTTTTATTTTTTATTTATCCAAGGCAAAAACTGGTTATAAAGTCAAACATTTTTGTCCTAAACCAACAAACTCATCTCTAGAAAGAGAACAGTGAGTGTTAAATGACTTGGGTGTTTTTGTGTCTTCATGCTCCTGTAGAGAAAGGAAAAAGTCCCAAAATGTAATAATAATTTATTTTATGTTACTGTTAATTTTTGTTTATACGATATAAACAGAGTTATGAAAAAAGAAAGAAGAAATAGAAACATGAGATTTGAATTATATTTGTCATTTGCCTTGTTTATTCAAAGTATACAATTGCTGTATGTTTATGCAGAGCCAAAGCCAATCTCACCACACCTGTTCCACTGAAATTGGTTTAAATACTTGTTAAATATTTTTTTTTTAAAACTTTACAAGTAGAATATTTGATTGTCTCAAAAAAAGATTTTTATTTAAACTAATGACGTTTTCTGACCTCATCTCTTTTTGATGTGGGAATGTACAGGTCAGGTGGCTGTGTATTTAACCAAAAAAGTTGTTTTGCGTAAAATCATTATTAGTTAGCATGACAAGCCAATAGATAGTTTGTGCAGGTGTGATGATATAGGCCTATTACAACTACAAGCAGTCTTACTTTTCACATGGCATGGGCAGCAGGAAAAAGTGCTTTGAAACATTTAATCAGTAGTCTAACACATATAGTATTACAGTCAATAACTACATATATTTACAACGTAAAGATTTATCAAGTAAAGATCGTAATAGCGGGAAAAGCCACAAATGCCAACAGCCTTGTGACACTAGTACATTGCTTTCATTTTACGACAGCTTTGGAAAGAATAATACAGTACTGTCGTGATCAACAGTAAAATCTGCCACGAAATAGAAAACTCATAGGCTACAATATATGTCTTATCAGCTGAGGGACCGTTCACATAGAACACATCTTTGCGTTTAAATGAGGCGCGTCGCATGAGAGTAAAAAGGAACGCAATGTCTCGAGTAGTGTTTTTAAAAATTGACAAAAACAAAACAGTAAATAAATAGAATTGTAGAATACAGAAAAAATTATAAAGCGCAGAAGAAAGCAAAAGCTCGTTCTGTGTGAACCGACATCCTGTTCACACCAAGGACGATAACTATATCAAGTTTTAAAACAATAAAGCAATAATGATAACGACACAGAGGAGCGATGTCATTGAAATCGCTTTCAGAAAGATTCATGACACAATCAGAATTAACCTGACTGTTGGTATGGTCGCTAACAGGGTGCGAACTATGGGGGAGCTAGGGGGAGCTCGGCTCCCCTTAATAAGACATGGGCTCCCCTGAAAACGTGATTTGTGAAATTTTGGGGGGGTCTCAAAAAAATATTGACTGTTATTTTGACGTGCAATTTCAATTTTGTGTAATGTGATCATCGTGAATTACAGGTGCATCTCAATAAATTAGAATGTCGTGGAAAAGTTCATTTATTTCAGTAATAAAACTCAAATTGTGAAACTCGTGTGTTAAATCAATTCAATGCACACAGACTGAAGTAGTTTAAGTCTTTGGTTCTTTTAATTGTGATGATTTTGGCTGAGCATCAAGGTGTGGGGGCGCTGCGGTGCAAATTCCACTCATGTTTAGTACATGTTAACTCAAAGATTCATGGAAAAAATATACACGTTGGACTCTGTGGTCGATTCCGTGTTAAGGTAAGGCATGTTATTCGCAATTATGTGTTGTGGCTGAGTTGTTATAGGTCTGCGTGACTCTCAATGTCTTAGGCCTAATTGAACGGAGGAATTATGGTATTCTTCTGTAGCCTGACGACGAGTAACTTTAACCGTTGTTCATGTGAACTCAAAGACAGCCTGATGCTTTGTTTATAGACTATTTGTGGGTGGCTGTTTGTTGTTTCACCGATCAATTCGTGTCGATAAAGTATAATAGGGTAAATCCTGTATAGTGATTTATCCTATATAGCGCTTGCATAAAGCAAGTAGAGCATACACTTGTAGCTGTTATGTATCTTTGTAATTCATTGTAAGCCCCCTTTTGAGGCACGAACCCCCCCCCCAATTATAAAAACAAAAACAAGTGGGCTCTCCCAAAGTCCACGGTATAGTTCGAACACTGGTCACTAATATAGAGTTATTGTTATAGTTGTCTTTATAGTATAGTTCTCGGTGTGAACAGGCCTTAAGGCTTCTGTTAACAGTTTCCAACATATTTTTATATAGTTCTCTTTAGAAACATCACATGTATCATTTCCCATGTCTTTTTTGTCCAATTCATAAACACTACAGCTGCACTACATTGAGTCATGTGCCAGTGTGTTTAAACACCATAAGTCTCTTCACCTTCACCTTCACCTTCATCCATCTAACAGTTCACCTCATACATCTCTGCACTGTCTTTGAGTCTCTGCTTACGGCAGGATGAACACTTCATGCTTTTGAACCCAAAAAGCAGCGCGGCCCCTCCCAGCACCTGTACCCAAGCTCCCACCCACCCGAAATAAAGCGACCCGGCCGGGTGTAACGTTAGTCGGGGTGGCTTGTGTACGTTGAGTCCTTGCGTCTCTGATACGGTTGAATCCACCTCGATCCCCAGCTTTGAAAGATTATGAGTGTACACTCCTAACGCAGCCAGACTGAGCACACCCGCCAGCACCACCAACAGGCCACCAGCTGCCGCTACGCTCCTAAGCGGGATATCAGTCCAGCAGCGGACACCCACGCTGGCGAGGACAATCCCTGCGCCGCACAGGAAAAGAGATGACAGCACCATCCCCTGGACCATTCGAACCCGAGCATCCCGCTGGTAGGACCCCGACACGGGCCAGCACTCTTTAACTTCAGAGTGCACCACCTGCAGGCAGCTCTCCCATAGGCCGTCCGAACGAAGTAGGAGGAGCTCCGTTGCTCCGGCACGCCCTGCCGCACCCAACCGCGCCTGTCCCTCCCTCCACTGCGGCGTGATCGCTGCAGTAAACACCAGCACAAGGCCCAAGGGAGCGAACACCACCCCCAACAGCATGGACGCTGGAGTGTGCATCACGTCTTTGTCGACTTTTATGAATGTTGTTTATGAACGTTATGTTTTGTAGCTCTTCAGGACGATGCTAAGCTTGAAACCACCAGCGAAGACCTGGGGAAAAGAGTAAAATTTCAGTTAAACTCATTCCACTCGCACAGATTCTAGAAGATTCTTTCATTTAAATCCCCTCAGACACCCGTCAGTGGAAATGCATTCCTGGATTCGCAGTCTGTTAGATCTGAAAGAGGAAGAGTGCGTATATGCATGTCTTGTTAGCCGATGACTCTCTCCTTTGAGCTCTAAGAAACATCGTCATTCCTGGCAACCAGCACAGTGGAGGTGAATGGTCTGCTGTTGCTAAGAGACAGTAACCTGGACAGTTGCGTCTTTTGTGGTACATCTGAAATGGTTCTAGCACTATCAGCCACAGGTGCTAGTCTCTGAACATCATCTTTTGACGCAATTGTGTGGTTGTGCTGTCGCTGATAGTGTGAACGGGATACGTTTTGAAACAGTTCACGGATATTATACGTAGACAGGAAGCCAGACGTTTGGGAGCTGAGAGAGCGAGCTGACGTCTGTTCCAGGAGACAAGGACAAAAGAGACCCTGCGAATGATGTGATGCTATAAAAAGCAGCTATTTTTAATGCACGAACTCAATATTTTTTAACAAGTCTGTGGAGTGTTTTCATCATCTAATTGGTTGACAATATCACCTTCAAACGTATCTGTGAGAGGGCTGTGGGCATATGTTTCAACAGTTTGGTCAATCACTGCATGCTCTTAGTACAGCCGCATCTATCATCGCATCAATTTCCTGTTCCACTCACTTTTGTTGCATGGCAACCCAAAAACAAACATTTAAAAGGGCGCACTGTCACCCGTACATTAATGAAAACAACAGAATCTGCCACACCAACAAAATGCGGCTACTCGCACTGACACTTTTCAAACCACACTAGTTATTAAATATCTGGAAAAACGGCATGACAGTGAGATCGGAACTACAGTAGTCAAGCTTTGATTGAAAAAGACGAAAAGCTCATTCCTTCAGGAAAAGGATCAACAGGATGTGGCACGCAAACTAGCCACACAGACCACTCAGACAAAGATGCAAGACAAGTGCATTGACCTGCTCTCCTGACCTGGTTTTTGCGTTCGCCCGGAGATGTTAAAAGTCATCTGCTTCTCTATTTGAATCACACATAACAGAGATGCCATGCACTCACCTCTCTGCAGAAGAATGAATGATCGTTCAGCTGTTCTCTTTGTTAATTCTGAGATGGATCCTTCTGATTTCTGTCCTTTCTCTTTCCCGCACTCTCTGATTTTCTCTAGTCTTGTGTATGAGCTTTCCATATACCCCCGTCCTTCTTTCAAACAGAGACACACACACATACACACACACACACACACACACACAGAACAAACAGCAAGTCCGACGTGTGCTGACTGCAATATGCAGACTGCCTGCTGAACCGGGCGATCTGATGAAAGAAAAAGAAGATGAATTTAAAAAGTCTGCCTTCTATCATATGTATTCATCTTGGCCATGTAGACACATATATTTATTAAATCCCGAAGAAAGATGTCAATCAGTAGATGCACATGAGCGCTGACCTCCAAACATTTGCTGCACAAATATACTCACTCCTGAACAGACATAGGTACTTATGTCTTTGATAGGCTACTCTTCAATTTTTATTATGGTATATAAAACCTAAATGTAAATAATGGTCCTGTGGTGATGGTAAAAAACTGAACAATATTTTTGTATTATAGAGGAAAAAGTGCATCTTTTTTTGTTGTTGTTGTTTTTCAATTTTATTGTCCTTGTCATATAATTACATTGGTTAGGCGTACTGATCGATTTCATTGCATTACCACAAGGCATATGGTGCTATAAAAATGAAGATAAACATGAACAAAGACATGTCTGTAAAGTATAGGGTAAGATGCCCTCTTAAGAATAACATATTTAGATTTAAGTTTAGCATGGGCATAATGTTAATGCTATGCATTAAAATTTTTTTGACAACTTAGTTGAATAATTGAACAACCAATGACAAAGCAGAATCCCAATAAAAGAGATTCATCTAAAAAGTACATGAAAAAATATTGAAAATATTTGATCTAAAAGGTAATATATTTTTACATATTTTGTAGATATGTCATAATAACAACACTATGAATAAAAATGCAAGGATCGAAGTAGCCTACATATTGAAGGTGTCTGAAATGCACATCTTGCATTTTTTAAGTTTTTTTTTTAAATTTTATTTACAAACATCAATGTTTCCACAAATCCCTCATTAACAAAAAGACACTGAAACTTTTGATATTCAACATAGGCCTAATACAGTGTCATAGATCACTATTTTCAAGAGAAACACAATCAGGCAAATTAGCTGTAAAAGTGTTCGACTGACTAAATCTCTCAAATGCTGATATTCAAATGAAATGACAATTAAGGAAAACACACTTTCATTAAATGTATTGAGATGACAGCCATTTATAGTCAAGTGACAAAATTTAATTTCATTAATTATAAACAAAATATTTGTTGCTTTCTTGGTGGTACAGAAAGAGCAGCCTATAGCTAACTATTAAAGGGGTCATCGGATGCCCATTTGATATAAGTTGACATGATTCTTTAGGGTCTTGAAAAGTCTATAACATACTTTGGTTAAAATTTCTCAATGGTAGTGTAAAAACACCTTTTTTACCCTGTCAAAATGTGCTCTGTTTTTAGCAAGCAATTCTAGTCCATGTTGCTTTAAATGCTAATGAGCTCTGCTCACACCGCCCCTCTCTTCTGTGGGTGACGAGCAGTACTGTTTACTTTAGCCGCGAAACTTGCTAACTAGCACATATTAGGAAAGGCGATTTGCAAAGATTCATAAAAAAATGTATACTCACTTCTTGTGTAGATGAAGCTCGATCACGAATGATTCGCGCGAACATAGACGCATTTAGGCAGATCGGGGATCGGCGCATTCCCTTCACAAACAAAAGTAATCCACTGTGTCTTCAGCAGCTCAGATGTAGGGAGTAAATGACGACTGCTATGTTCATTACATCCAACAACAAAACACCTCAATCGCTTAATCGGAGACATTCTTGTCTTCCCCTGCACTGGAGTCGACACTATGGCGGACTGATGACAGCTCACAGTCAATCAACTATTGTGGGAGTGGCCTGTTCAGAACTACGTCATTCTGACAGGAATCTCAGAACAGTCTGATTTGAGAAAGGGGATTTTAAAATAGGGATTTTTTTTTAAAAACAGTGGGTGCATTTTTATCATTATAGGATGGATGTTTACACACACTTCCAACACACATGTTCAAACAACAACAAAAGTGAATTTTGCATCCGATGACCCCTTTAAAATATTGACCCATTGACACGGAATCAATTCAATGAGGCATGTTCAGTGGCGGCTCTGACGGTTTCGGTGTGTTCGTTCAATGAAGGATTCGTTATACTGATTCGAACAGATAACTCTTATGTCTTTGGGCTCAATTTGTTAAAAGATTCATGAGAGTCAAGTGCTTGAATCAGAACACACAGGCTGCGCTGTATGTTTGTTTTCTCAAGAAGCATGCGTGCAGCACTATGGGATTACATCTCTGCCACAATTCTGCACGCGAAAGATCATATTTTGAGCGGGCAAAAGTGCGTTTTGCACGCGCGCGAACTTTCTCTTTTGCGCGTGCAACGTTCCACTAGCTTGCTCACCTGATGCCCGCCCTCTGTGCTCGCTAAATGCCAACGGCTCGCTTGCCCAGCGTTACAATATGCCATAATTCCAGTCAATCAGAGACGCGGCTGCTAAATTCTGATTGGCTGCCTTGACAACCAATAACAACATTCCTTGCATTACCTCGACAGCAGAAGAGGAAAAATACAGTGCATGCATAAAGAAGATAACCTGCTTAATAATTATGCACACCTGAATATAAGGCGTTTTTCACTTCCAGCCTTCATGAACAATAATATATAGAATATAAGTGATTAAATACAAGATTAATAGTAGTTATTAAGATTGATGTTGTTTGGAATTGGTAAAATGTGCTTGGAAAAAAATATAATCAGAATATCAACTTGCATAATAATTATGCATGCATGCACTGTATTATTCCTCTTCTGCTGTCGTGATAATGCAAGAAATGTTGTGAATGGTTGTCAAGGCAGCTAATCAGAATTTAGCAGCCGCGTCTCTGATTGGCTGGAATTATGGCATATTGTAACGCTGGGTTGTGTTGAACAAGCGAGCCATTGGCATTTAGAGAGCACTGAGGGCGGGCATCAAGGGAGCAAGCTAGTGAAACATTGCACGCGCAAAAGAGAAGGTCTGCGCACATCCAAAAACTTATTTTAAATGCAAAATTGATTTTCGTGTGCTCAAAATACTTTTTTCTTTGCGAAACGAACATTTTCTCCACAGAATTGTGGCAGAGATCTAAGCATGGGAAATTCTGTGATCTGCGACACACTTGCATCATGTGAAACAGGTAAGTGTAAGTTCCCTTACAAAAAAATAACTATGGTTTTACTAGCCTACAAATAAAAACAAAACAAAAACAAAACATGGTTACTATATTTAAAACATGGTAACCACAAATTAACCATGGTTTTGCTACACTAACCATAGTTTAGTTTAGCCTATACCATATTTAGCCTAAATCTGTGGTTGTACAAATGGTGATCAATACGCCAAAAAAAACATGGTTACTACACTTTACTATAATAAAACCATGTTTTTGCGAGGGTAATGCCTATTAATGAACTTAAATATGAGTAATTGCACTTTATTTTTAATATTTCTGACTTCATCAATCGCAGTTTGTGTGCGACCTACTAAGTTGTGGGCCATACAGTTTAACAGCTGTAAATGATTTAAGCAAGGAAATGTCTTGAAACAATAAAAAAACACTTGAAAATATTATGGATTTTGGATTTTATTTTCCATATAAAAGCAGAGGCAGTAAAAAAGGAAAACACAGCTTTAGTATATCAGTATTGTTCGAAAGCAATAAAAAGAATTTGAAATGTACAAATTTTGTGACGCAAAATCCACAAAATGAAAAGTCACCGTTATTTAATCTGATATTTGGGCAAGTTCGACATTGCAGTGGTTCGTCCGAACTTTCTTGTCTAAATGTCAAGAGGACAAAAAGGCCGGTTGTCCTGACAACCGTTACAGCCACACAGATTCGAAATGTGTGGAGCCAGTTTTCAAAATGTGATCGAAACACTGACAAATATGCGGCTCTTTAAGGGTGGAAATGTGCGACTTGAAGGTCTAAAACACTTGTGTGTGTTTGTGGAGTGTTCCAGATGTGAAACTAAAAGGCTGATAGTTACAGCACCCTGACTGGAAGTATGCTGAAGTAACACGCGGCAAGATTAATAAACATGCGAACCACCATCAGAGCATAAAGCAATACAAACGCCTCACATCCTGTCCTAGAAATGATGGGCCTACTATAAGCAGCAAAGAGGCAGCGTCCAAAAAGGCAAGTTTATCATTGAAATAACAACATATAACTCTTTTAAAATCACGTCAACACACAACATTATGATAATTATGTCTATTTACAATTAATATTTACAGAACATGTACCTTGTTGATCATAATTGCTCGTGTTATAAAATTATTGTAGATAAAATAATAAAAAAAGGTACAAAAGTGGAAAATGGTATTTACACTGTTTAGTTTTGATATGTCTTGTTAAAACTGAAAATGTTGGAACTGGCAGGTGAGCTGTTTCCATAGCGACTGCAGAATCTGGCTCATAGTCATGCTTTTGGATCGAAAGAGCAGAAAGAAGCTGCCAGCAGCAGCACCAGGTGTGGTGTCACTAGTTGATTATGTCATTTATAACTCCATAAGTGTGATCTGGAAGTGGTTGATCATGACTTCAGTGATCTCGATGAGGAAGGCAGAGTGGTTGCTGTAATGCTTGATGATGTTGTCATCCATGTTCACAAAGATCCTGTTCATTAGAAAGAAAGAATAAGTTATAGAAATTCTTGTTAATATTCTGGCTCATACATTGCTCTGATAACCAACAAATTGGACATATTAAAATACTAATCTATTTTAATGAATTAAAAATAATAAAACTCACAAAGTTCAAAGCATTTTAAATTCTATAAGTACATTTAGGCATCACAACATTATAATGTACAGTATGAAAAATGGATATTCATTTTGAGATTTGCTAAAATATTATTAAAGAAACATTTTTTAATTATTATTAAAGATTAACTTTAATTGTGCATAAGATTACAGCAAAGGTAATCTAA